CGGCACCTCGCGCCTGCTGTTCCAGCGCCTCCTGCCCTGCGGCGTCATCAAGTTCCGCTATATCTGGATCTGCTGGTTCTCGGCGCTGGCGGCAGGGGGCGCCTACATCGCGGGCGTCAGCCCCCGCCTGCGGCTGCCCACCCTGCTGCCCCCGCGCGGCCAGGTCTTCCGGCCCAGCCACCCCTTCGAGCGCTTCGACGCTGAGTACCGCCAGCAGTTCCAGTTCGAGCGGCTGCCTGAGGGCGAGGGCGGCCACATGCCCGTGATTTTGGTGTGGGGCATCCTGCCTGTAGACACTGGGGACCCCCTGGACCCTCGCAGCAACAGCTCACTGGTTAGTGACCCTGCCTTCTCGGCCAGCAGTCCCGAGGCCCAGCGCTGGCTGCTGGCACTCTGCTACAGAGCTCGGAATCAGAGTTTCTTTGGAGCCCAACCGGAGGGCTGGCCCACACTGTGCTTCATGGAGGCCCTCCAGCACTGGATGGAGAGCCCCGGTTGTGCCCGCCTGGGACCTGGCCTCTGCTGTAGCCACTCAGGCTTCCCCTGGGCACCCCAGCTTTTCCTGCACTGCCTCAAGATGATGGCTCTGGAGCAAGGCCCAGATAGCACCCGTGACCTGGGGCCTCGCTTCAATACCCAGGGCAGCCTGACTGCCCTGGTCCTACAGTTCCAGACCAGCTTCCAGTATAGTCCAGACTACAGCCAGGCCCACCACTTCTACACTGAGGTCAGCCACTGGCTGGCAGCAGAGCTGGGCAGGGCACCTCCGGGCCTCCGCCAGGGTTGGTTCACCAGCCGTCTGGAGCTGTACAGCCTGCAACACAGCCTGAGCACCGAGCCTGCTGTTGTGCTGGGCCTGGCTCTGGCGCTGGCCTTTGCCACACTGCTGCTTGGCACCTGGAACGTTCCACTTAGCCTGTTCTCCGTGGCAGCTATAGCAGGCACGGTACTGCTCACCGTGGGGCTCCTGGTTCTACTCGAGTGGCAGCTTAACACTGCCGAGACACTCTTCCTCTCTGCATCTGTGGGCCTCTCGGTAGACTTCACTGTCAACTACTGCATCTCCTATCACCTATGCCCACACCCAGACCGCCTAAGCCGTGTAGCCTTCTCACTGCGCCAGACCAGCCGCGCCACGGCCATGGGGGCTGCAGCCCTGTTTGCAGCTGGTGTGCTCATGCTGCCTGCCACGGTGTTGCTCTTTCGCAAGCTGGGCATTGTCCTCATGATGGTAAAGTGTGTCAGCTGCGGCTTTGCCAGCTTCTTCTTCCAATCTCTCTGCTGTTTTTTTGGACCAGAGAAGAACTGTGGGCAGATCCTCTGGCCCTGTGCCCACCTGCCATGGGATGCTGGAACTGGGGAGCCAAGTGGGGAAAAGACAGGCCGCCCACGACCAGGGCCAGGAGGAGGGCCACCTGGGTCCTACTCGGAGCAGTATGAGCTACAGCCCCTGGCACGGCGCCGGAGCCCCAGCTTTGACACCAGCACAGCCACCAGCAAACTATCTCACCGGCCCTCAGTGCTCTCTGAGGATATACAGCTTCATGATGGCCCCTACTGCTCCCGGCCCCCACCAGCCCCTGCCTCACCAAGGGACCTGCTCCTGGACCACCAGGCAGTCTTCAGCCAGTGCCCAGCCCTGCAGACCTCCTCCCCTTATAAGCAAGCTGGCACCAGCCCCAAAACCCAGGCCAGGCAGGACTCCCAAGGGCAGAAGGCTGAGCCCATGCAGGCCTCAGCAGAAGCTCCAGCCCACGCCTCCAAGCCCAAGGCTGCAGAGCCACCTGATTGCCTCTGCTCCTCAGCCAGCACCCTGGAGGGGCTCAGCGTCTCGGATGAGACCTGCCTAAGCACCTCTGAACCCAATGCCCATGTACCAGATTCCATGGGTGCCTCCCCAGAGGACCTGGATGAAACTGAGCAATCAGTACCTGAGCGAGGCCAGCTGAACAGGAAGCGGGACACCCTGTGGCTGGCGCTGAAGGAGACTGTGTATGATCCATCACAGCCTGCCTCCCACCAGAGCACCTCATCCTGGAAGGGCCGTGGGGGACCAGGGGATGGCAGCCCTGTGGTGCTGCCCAACAGCCAACCAGATCTGCCAGATGTTTGGCTGCGCAGGCCCAGCACCCATACTTCAGGCTACAGTAGTTGAGGGAGGCTGGGGGAAGCTGGGCCAGGGTGCAGAGCCTGTCAGGGAGGACAGGGCAGGGGCAGCATCAAGCTGGAGCCTGGTGGTGTTTCCCCATGTCAGCAGGGAGAGACCTCACCCTTCAGCTGTGGACTTTAAACCCTGCCAGATATTCCAGCCTTGGTCGGGGCTGCTGCTTACACCCCGCATCTGGAGGATTCAGTGGGGAGAATCTTTGGAGAGAAATGCCAAGCTCTCCTTGTGACCTGCTGAGGACTCCTGAGCCCCCACAGTGCCAACCAGGACCCACTCCAGGGAATCTCACCAAGCAAGAGTCCTGGGGAACCTCGGCAGCCTCCTGGGCCTCATATCTTTCAGGGGCTCTTTACCAGGATACTTCCTTCTCTTTGAGGCGCTTCTGTGTGCCAGAATTGGGCTGTGGCCTCTGCCCTGAGCTGCCCTACCCCCCACACACACCCCAGTCTGACCGGAAATTCATCAAGGCCAGGCTGAGAAGGCAGGAACAGGAGAAGAGGGCTGATCAGCCTCTGAGTATCCCTATTACATTGCAGCCTGGTCCTTCACAGGCAGCTGCCGTGGCAGGGAAGAGTGGACTCCCCTATTAACAGTCAGAATATTTTCTGTCCCTGCATCTTTTAGTTTACAGAACACTTCTAGACTTGTATCCTTGGAATCTCACTTCACTGTGGGGTACCCTGAAGTTGGTTCTTTTGCCCCCAATTTATAGGTAAAGACATTGAAACTAAGTAAAGGTAAGTGACTTACCTGAAGTCACATAGCTAATAAATGGCACAGCAGGTTTCCACACTCACTCCACCACTACAGCTCCCACTCTCCTCCTGGCCACCTGGCCACAAACATTGGTCTGTGGCTGTCCTGATCTTTTACCTCTAGCACCCTCCTATGATTGCCTTCTCAGATGTCTCTGAGTAAACTCCCCTCCCTCCCCCTTCAGGCCTCCATCTCCAGAGAGAGATATTCTGAGCAAGCCTGGAGTTCTTCCCACCATCCCTGTGCATCCCTCCAAATCCAGCTGAGATGCCTGCTGGCCATCAGGTATCCTGGCTAATCTGGTTCCCAAGTTCAGAGTCCGGGGCATGCCTCTTCCATGGCCACAGTATATGGAGAGCCCCCACCAGGAGAGACACTGAGGAAAGTAGAGGTGGAGCAAGAACTCAGGGCTGCCCTTTTTGGGACTGTATGGGTCTGAAGCTGTTCCCCGGCTTCCTAAGGACAGGTGTTCCTGGTGGCCATCAGCAGACCAAAGGCTGATTCCTCCTCCCCAAGGCAGTGAGTCTCTCTGGAAGGTTTTATCCCATGTAAGAGCTCATGACACTTAGAGTATCAGCAAGTTTACTGAATACCTACCCTGCATATGGTACTACAAGGAGGCAGAGGCGTGCAAGGAAAATCATCTTCCCTCAAGGAGCTCACTCTCTAACTGGGGAAACAGTTCACACATCCATGCAGGCATCAGTGGGCCTCGGAGGGACATATGTCTGTCACCATCAGTATTGCTGGAGCTCAAGTACCCAAGACTGGGTAACCAGGAAGGCTTTCTGGAAGAAGAACAACTTGAGCTGGGCTTCAGAATCCTAAGTATCTCAGACTGGAAGGAACCTTAATGATCATCCATTCCAGCAGTTTGCAAACTTTGTAGCCTCAGGACCCTTTCTTCAAAGAATTGTTGTATGGAAACATAGTATGTAGAACAGATAAAAAGCAGCTACTCTGCTGGGTGCTGGGTGGGGGAATACAGAGCCAGCTCAACCTCCCTTTCTACTGTACCTGGGGAACCCCTCAAGCTCCTGAAGGCCTCACAGAATGTGGTGTGAAAACCCTTGATTCAGGCCATTTTACAGATGAGTATCACAAAAGGAAAGGAGTTTTCTAGGCATGAACAGTCTGTGGCAGAGCTGGAGATAAATCAAGGAGTGTTTTGGTTTTTCGTATATTGTTGAGACTCACCTCCCACCCCAATGGGAGCTCATGAAAAGTGGGACAGAAGCCCAAATGAGACATAGGAGTTGAAAACACAGAAGACCGTGGGCAGGAATGACAGAATACTTTGCAAGATAAGTAAATCGAACCCATCTGACTCCTGACACTAGGAAGGGAGGATACTGACTAGGACATAACTTCAACCTGTCCCCCCAGAGATCCGCTTGGAGCTTTCCCCATGTTCAAGGAGAATTCAGCCTCTGTGGCCTAGGGCTGCTCATCAGGGTCCTGACTTCTCTGCACCATGGACTGTCCTGTTACTACACAATCAGGCTGAGAGCGCCCTGGTCTCACCTGGGACAATTAGCCCTCTAGAGGGAGGACAGGTGAGCCCTTCCTTCTGAGCATGAGCAGAAGTGTGACCTTGATGCAAAAGAGAGTCCAGCATCTTAGCTGCTTCTCAGCAACTCACCAAGGTTCTTTTGCCCCATGTTGTGGGAGGGCAGCAGGGACCTGGACCAAAAGAACCTGCTCCTCCACACCCTTTTTTTGTGTCTTACAAAGGAAAACATTGGTGTCTGGGACTGGAGCTTCAAAAACTGCCTGAACACAACCACTGAAATGTTAAAGCATGGGGTGGGGGCGTCATTGGGAGTTTGGGCACACCTGATGATCCTATCAGGGATTTCTGGGTCTCATTCTTACAGGCCATGGCCATACAACCCTATAGGAAGGCAGATGAGCCAGAACAGCTGAGGTGCCAACTGGATTTGTTCTTTATGCCTCTGGGCCCTAAGGACTGGAAGAACCCACTGGCAATCAAAAACTTCACCTCGCAACAAGAATGGCCCAAACCAACAGCAGGCACCCTATTTCAGCGGGTAATCCAGCCTGCCTCTCGGGGCCCCAATTTTGGAAAGCAGGATTTAAGGCATTTTTTAATTTCCTTTGACTTTAGTAGATCTATTCACTTAATTATTGTTATGGGTGGTTACAATGAGTGTGTGACCCTGCATACGTGGGGAGAGGCTTCGAAGCATACTGTGAGGCAAGGGAAAACCAGTCAAAGCATTCACATTTGCTCTGGAAAATTCAAGAAATGGTTTCTTAACACTAAGACACTTTAAAATAGAACTACATTAACACTCACTTGGGACTTGAGAGTATTTCTCCTATTTGTGCTACAGATCCTTGAACTCACACTCAGAGTATGTGTGCTGTGTTTTTAAAATGTAACTTGGAATAGTTTGTTACAATGGGAAAGCCCATCCTTCCATGGCTGTGGTGCTTTGATGACGAAGATAGGCAGAGATTGATGTGACTGGCAGAATCTTAGATTTTATTGGCACATGGCCTATCCCATACCATGATATTTAGTCAATATCCCAGCTTGAGCCTGATTCTGAAAGAGACATATCATAAGAGATTGACAAGCCAAACTTCCTCAGTCCCCTCCAACTCTTCATTCTTCTCCCGGTGCACAACCGGACAGGGAGGCAGGTGAGAGGTATCAGGAAAGAGGAAACATTGATTTACAACCTTCACCTGTTATCCAGAGAGTTTCTGATCTTTTCTTCCATCGTGGCCTTATCTCAGCCTTTGATAATACACATGGGCAATGACAAGCTCTCTGGCACCCCATGCTGTGCGTCAAGATCCCATTAGCTTGGGGATAGGAAAAACAGACATTCCTCACCCTTTCTACCCTCACCCTTGTTCACAGGTGTGACTGTAACTCAAGGTCTGGAGGTGTTTTTACTTAAGAAATTGTAACACAATTCACTGGGAAGATGAGGAACAAAAGAAAGCCATCATGTGCTATGTAAATGGCTGGCAGTCCAAAGCCACCCTGTACTGAAGAGCCCTGGAAGGACCTTGATAAACTTATAATTATTATCAGGCTTCTGTGTGATTATTCATGGTATCCTTCAATATAGGGGAAAGATCAGCATTTTACCAAATTCCCAAACATCAAACAAGAGCTTTAGTATTGCTAAAGAAAATTACACAGCTGGGCAGACTGATGTCGATCTGAATTCATGACCACCAACCTCCTCCACTAGACCCTCAGCCCTGCCTAGCTAGTTTCCATTCTAGTTTCTAGTTTCCATTCTTTGTAATGACCATTTCATACTTTCTCTACCTTCCTCAAATATCTGATGCCCATCTCCAGCTTCCACAACCCCACTGTCAGTAGACAAGTCACTCTTCATAAAGAAAACTGGAAATTTAGTCACCTTCAAGGCACCAAGTCCCCAACTTACCTACCCCTGCTCCTGCCTGCTTCTGTTCCCATCCCTTCTATTACAACAAAAGATGGTTCCATCAATGGCTTCACACACTGCACCAAAGGCCTTCAACCTAGGGCTTGCATTCCCACGGGGACATGAAGACTTTCTAAAAGGTAGGTGGACACAGACAGTTTTAGGGAATCAGTTTCCAGAGCTTCCTCCTTCATATGTTTCCTCTCTTTATATTGATCAGCCTAAGAAGGAGCCTTAGGTCAGTCAGTTCTTCTCTATCTCCACTTTCCCAGTTAACCCCCTCCTTCCTTTTGAATCCTACTCTGGCAATTTGCTCTGCAGTATAAAAAACAAAAGGACACCTTGAGAATGCTCTGCTTGAGGAAGTCCTTGAGTGAGCAAAGCCTAGATAGTTTCTATGAGAAGTTTCACAGGGGGCAACCCAGTAGCTCAGTTCTGTGCCTTCTCCATTTAATTTGAATTGTCTGAATTGAAAAATGTAATTAAAAAACAAAACAAAAAATTTTAATAAAAAATTTTAAAATCAGACGTTTTATAATAGAAAGTCAATTTGATTTGGCTGATGAGTTTGACACAAAGGACTGGCTTTGCACATAGGATATTTGGTGGACATTTTCCAAAAATGGAGTCATTTAAATCTGAAGCTTCATGGTTTGAACAGAAGTATATTTAAAGTACATATACCATTTCCTCTTCTAGCCAAGATGGAGTAGCAGGACCAGATTTACCCTCCTTCCTGAAACAACCAAATGGC